ACCTGTTGTAAGAGTCCTACATACCAGAAATGTGCTAAAAACGCAAGATGGCAAGTATATACCAGAAATACTTGTCAATCTCTGGACCCAAATGGGCAGAGCACTGGCTTTCTGTACAGAAAGGAGTAACAGGAGTGAGTTGCCAACTGCTCAACTCAGCCCATAGAAGATGAGCCATCCTTAATTAAACCCAACCTTCCAAACAACAATCATGTCTGTGGGCATGAAGAAAGAGGTCTGTGTGTCCCACCCCAGAGACAGCCTTCCTCTTTTCTCTATGTGATAGAACCACACTGGAAAGTGGTCACTGTGGTCACCATGAATATTTCTTCTTCCTCTCTCACCTCAGAGAAAAGCACATCTGCTGATACTGGTAAAAAAATAATAATATCGATTTGTTTTTCAGAACTCAAATAGCTTCATCAGTTTGTATGGTGGCTTCTCTGATCTTTCAAGGATGAGAACTTAGTGAATATCTATACAAGATATTTTGAAATAGTTTCTTTAACATGAGCGCTAATAAACTCATTACATATTATAAAATAATAGAAAAATGTAATAAAACAATAATGATTTATTTAAATGATTTACTTAAATGATTTATTAAAACAGTATAACCATGTTGGTGAAAAATGTAAACTGAAGATGTAATTTTACCACCCAAACACAATTAGGGGCTTTTTGTGTTTTGGTGCTGGAGATTCAACCCAGGCCTTGTCACACCAAGCACGTGCTCTATCACTGACCTGCACCCCAACCCCATCAGGATTATTAACGTCATATTTATTTTATCATTTTCTGGTGCTGGGTTTTGAACTCAGGGCCTACACCTTGAGCCACTCTACCAGCCCTTTTTTTGTGATGGGCTTTTTCTAGATAGGGTCTTGCAAACTATTTGCCAGGGCTGGCTTTGAACTGCGATCCTCCTGATCTCTGCCTCCTGAGTAGCTAGGATTATGGGCATAAGTCATTGATGCCTGGCTGTTTCATCGTTATTCTATCTGTGTCCCCTCTTTTCCTTGGATCTTGCAAGGAAGGGTAGATTTCATGCAAGTGCATTGCTTACTAAACTTAAAATGTATCTTGCCGCCACCCTCACTTCATCAGCACTTTTTTGTGCTTTTGCAGACTGTGGTCCACTGACTCTTTTGTTCCTTTGGTAAGGTGTGCTAGTTTGATTATCTTTGCAGGAGCCCCTGCCATAAACAACTAATGTTTTGACTCTCAAAGAACTATGAAAACTAGCAGGAGGAGAATATTTGGAGGTGTGCTCAAGGGCCCAAGTAGATAAATTCTGATGGTCTGATTTAATTTTTTTTTTTCAGAAAAACAACCCACCCACAGAACATAAAATACTGCTTGTTACTTTTGACGCACTCTACCTTTCCTTTCCTTCATTGAGAATGGGGCTTCACCCAGAGAATTAGGGGGATGTGTTGGCAGCTGATGTCTATCAGCTAAAAAACTTATTTAAAAGTACAATATCTGCTTTTGCAAAACTAAATCACCTGACCATCTCTTGTGCCTCAATGTCACCTGCAGACCTTGCCGGGTAATGCCCTCAACAGGTTGGAAAACTAAGCATGACCTTTCCTTTTGATGGGCTTTAAGTGTTGGAGTATTGATCAGCTGAATAGGGCCTTCATGGCTTTTTCTTTTGCCATTTTGTGGGTTGTGGCTTAAAGAAGTTGAGTTTTGTTTAATGGATGTCCCCTTCAGTTAGTTGCATTGATAAAGAGAGCACCCAGAAGCCGTTATGCTGGGGGGACACTGGGTCATAGCGGAGAGGTGGCTCGGATTTGAGACCAAGTCGTAAGTCCCCTTTGCTGCCTCGGTGACATCCAGAATAAAAACAAACTGAAAACCCCAGCACAGTGGTTGATTGTAAGGAGGCTTTAGTGTAGACACCGAGCACGAGTGAAGGAAAAGAGGAGGAAGGCGGCAGAGAAAAGCTTTATAGGTCTCGGCCCTAGGTGAGGTTTAGACTAACAGAGATCAGAGCAAACATCTGTTTCCAGTCCGAATTTCTGTGAACTTTTTCCTGGAGAGAAGCACCCGGAGCAATTTCCAGTATTCCAGCTGAAGCCTCAGTGCCAGAGCTCTGAATAAATCTTAAGAAATCGAAGCTCTGGGGAGGACCAGAGTGTGCAGGGGAAGGCAGCGCCCGCGAAGACCGCCGCGCAGGGAAAGCTTTGACAGCGAGCCCTAGGCTATTGGAACGTTGACGCTTTCTTCGCCGCCCGCGGGCGCCTCGCTCCCCGCTGTCTTTATAAAGCGAATTGCAGGCAGCACTCTCCTTCCCTTGGTTGCGGGAACGCGGGGAAGATCTACAGCCCGCAACTCCGAGACTCCAAGCGGCGTCACATGCAGCCAGATACTACCTGAGCCCTCGAAGCTTCCCGGTTTGGGTTTGCGCAGAATTTCATGGAGAGGGATCCAAAGATAATGCTGAGTCCGCAGAGGTGCTCGGGGTCGGGGTGGGGGTGGGGAGCTCAGAGACACCCGGAGAAGGTGCCTAATGTCGAGGTTGCGGGGTTTAGAAGCGCGGGGGTAAATGAAGATTTGGGTCAGCCCCGCGACCTCGTGGCCGACAGGGGGCGCCCTGTCACTGTGGAAACCAGAGCTCAGGGCTCCCTGACTTCTGCGATCCCCCGACCACCAACCAGGCTGAGAGTGAGAGTGGGAGGTCGAAAGGTCTGCTCATTAGTGTAGCGCCCTCTCCTCCCGACCTACTCTCCAAGCACCTATTCGCTCAAATTTTCGCCCAAATTTTCAACCAGGAGCAAAATCAGAAAGGAGAGTGGGCACGCACATAAGTTCACAAACATCCTCACATACAACACACCACGCTTGCTAGTTTAACCAGAATATTCTTGAGTTTTCAATGTCATACACACCAGAAAACTGCCTGTTTATCCTTGTGTCGCGGGTTTTCCTCTCGGCTTTGGCGTTTAAGTGCCCCAAGGAGAGGAGGAGGTAGTTGACAGTGTTTGGGGGAATACGTGTTTATGTGTGCTTGGCTACATTTCTGCTCTGGCCTGTGCAGAAAGGCTTGAAAAAAGAAAAAAAAAAAACTTTTTTGAGCTCCATGGGCAACCCTCTTTTCCTAGTACTTGTTAGAGCGCTGAAGTTGTAAGGTGCTGAGGATTTGCCCTTCCGTCCCCACCTCCCTGGCGCATACCTCCAAGTTCACTGTCCTGCCGCCCCTCTTGAAAGCCCTCAGCACCCAAGGCTTCAGTGAAAATGCAGACCTTGGCTTTGAGGGTACCCACCCTACACTCGCTCTGAGGGCTTGTTAATGCCTTCTCTATAAATTCTACAAACTATGCTCGTTTTCAGCAGCAAAGGGCGCTGTCATCGGCTGCATCTTCAGTCAAAAGGATGCTGCTGACCAGAGAGGCTGGATTGGAGGCCAGGCAGCTAGGGCTTCCTTCGCTCTTCTTCCAGGCTGCCTCTCACTCTGGCGTATGTTTTTAAGGCTTGCCACCTCACCTCTGTCTTCTGCTACTATCACCCCCAATTCTGGACAGATGGGCCTGGGCCAGAGAAGGCCCACTGTTTCTTATGTTTAAAGGGAAGAGTTCACAGCTGGATCCCTCTGGCCTAAGTCAGGTTTTCTTCCATATCTAAACACCTATAAGCCCCCATTTCCCCGCCCCCCCACTACAAAATCTGGGGTTGCTGAGGTCTTGGAAGCTAACCTGGATAAGCAAAAAAAAAAAAAAAAAAACCTCAAGAGCTGGAGGAGAAAGAAAAAAGAAATACATTGCTGTTTCTGTTTCCTAACTTTTTTAGAAAACAGCCCCTCTGGAAGGCAGAGAACAGAGACTCTCCTGAAGTCATTCCATATGCCCCATTATTGATTCCTTTATGCCTCTTTCCCCTCCTGTCTTACCTCCCCTCACCACCTCCTGCCCTGTTTGTTTTAGTTACGAAATGCTATGGGCACCTTGGTTGTGACTGAAAAGTAACCTTGAAACACGCCGGCCTGAATGTCAGGCGAATTGCAGCCTTTCATGCGTCGGCTGCAGCTACCAGGGTTGGGTGCGCCCCCAGACCGCCCCGCTGTGGGTCGCAGGAGGTGGACACAGAGAGAGCAGAAGGAGGAGGCGACCGGACCATGAGCGGCGGGTGCACCTTCCCAGGCCTCTCTGGAACTTAACTGTAAAAGGGAGGGGCCTTCCCAAGCAGCGGCGGGCGAGTTAAAGGTGTGTACACAGTTTTTCTAAATACGACAGCGCTTTGCAAATTGGCTGTCACCTGCTTGTTATTTTGACAGGGGATGTGAGCTGAAAGCGAAGAAACCCGGGATAAATAAATCTGGCTTAAATAAGGCTCTGCGGGGCACTGAGGCCGGACGCGCCCTCGGATAGACTCACCGGGCCCTGGGCGCTATGGGACTGGGCGGGGGTGAGGGGGTGGGGACGGACAGGAGCCTGCGCTGCTCCAGGCGGCGGTGGCGTTTTCCCAGGTCCCACTTCCCACAGAGGACTCCGCGTGGACCCAGGAGGAAAGGGGACTCCAACAACGCGCCCGTGCGCTCTCTTGCCGCTTGGCCCGCTCCCGGCGTCCTGGCCCTGGCGTGCGGGACGCTGCGGGAGCAGGGTGGGCGGCCGGCGCGGAGGGCAGGTGCGGGGCGCTGGCCGAGGCTTCCTTTCACCTAGGTGTGAGCTGATTATTCAAATGGGCTGCCCCGGGTCTAGGGATTGGAGGCCCGCGCCAGCGCGCCGCGCTATATCACCAGCCGCCCACGTCACTGCGGCACTTGTCCGCTCCGCGGTCCACACCTCCTCCTCCCCCTCCTCCTCCTCTTCTCCCCCCACCCGCCCCCGCGCCGCGAGCTTCCCGCCGCCTCCCGGCAGCTCGGCACTGGCAGCCTCAGCCTCCACCCAGCAGCCCGTAAGCGCGGCGGCGGCGGCGGCGATAGCGGGTGCTCCCGACGGCGGGGCTCGGTCTGGGCCACGTCTGTTCAGCGGCCCCCTCCTCCGCGAGCCACCCCTCCCGCCCACTTCCAACTACCGCCTCCGGCCGGCCGAGGGAGAGAGAGGGAGTGGAGCAGAGAGAGAGGGAGCGCGGGAGAGGGAGGGAGGGAGGGGACGGTGCCTTAGCCGACTTTTTTTTTTTAAGAGGGTGGGGGTGGGGGCTGATTGCTGTTCGTTTGTTGTGGCTGTTAAATTTTAAACTGCCATGCACTCGGCTTCCAGTATGCTGGGAGCCGTGAAGATGGAAGGGCACGAGCCGTCCGACTGGAGCAGCTACTATGCGGAGCCTGAGGTAAGCGCTCGCCCTTTCCAGGGGGAAGTGGGGTGGCCGCGTTCTCTACTTCCCCAACCTCAGGACCGCTCCCCTCGGCCGGCATCCGCCCCCCCACCCCACCCCCAGCCTTTCTGGGCAGCCGCTTTTTCCACCCTCCTTCGACTCAAATGGGTCTCTTTTTTTATACGACACACTGTTAGCCTTGAGATAATATTAACTTTGTGATCAAATATTGACTTGCGGCGCCTCCAAATCCTCTTCGTGGCCGAGCCACGCACTATCCTAACAGAGTTATGTTTGGCAGCGCGCGGCTGGGGAGGGGTGGGAGGTCGGCCGGCAAGGGGGTGGGGAGCTGAAAGAGCAGAAGGTGGGTAGGAGTTGGGGGCCAAGGTGGAGTCAGAATCACAGACCAGTGGACAAAGATTTGAAAGAAAGTTTGTGACTGTGAAGTCCAGCCGCGTGTAATTCCTTCCCCAGGTCGCGGTTCCTTCCCTATTACTCTGTTCAATGCCCCGAACTGCTCGCGGACTCTGTGCAGACATCCTGCGTTCAGCTCCCCTGGGTCCAGGGAGGGGTGTCCCAGTAGGAAGGCCCGGCATGGGAGAACCAGGGACAGTCTCCACTTGATGCCATCCCAGGCTCCCCAGCGATGTCCCAAAGGTTACTTTTGGGGACCGGAGGTGGTATCCGGTGCCTCCAGGCCTTGGCGCAGGATCAATCTGCTTGCAGGACAATTTGGGAAGACCCTGGAGAAGGAGGGTGCATTGGGGTGCTTGACTCGGTGCTCCACGGGACCGCTGTTTTAGACTCTGGGCGAGGCGCAGAAAGGCTAGGAACAGCCACGTGCCCAGAACTGCAGTCTGTTGGCCACCTCCCCACCAGCAGTTGCGGATTGCCCTGTGTGAAGTGTCCGAGGACTGGGGCCCAGCAGAGGGAAAGGCTCCCCGGATGGAGGCGCGGGCCTGAGTTGGAGTGCTGGGTGGGAGGTTTGGGCACGCTCCAGCCACCGTGCTAACGCTGTTCCCTTCCTCCCCGGGCTCTGTCCGCAGGGCTACTCCACAGTGAGCAACATGAATGCCGGCCTGGGGATGAACGGCATGAACACGTACATGAGCATGTCGGCGGCCGCCATGGGCAGCGGCTCAGGCAACATGAGCGCGGGCTCCATGAACATGTCGTCGTACGTGGGCGCGGGCATGAGCCCGTCCCTAGCTGGTATGTCCCCGGGCGCGAGCGCCATGGCGGGCATGGGCGGCTCAGCCGGGGCGGCTGGCGTAGCGGGCATGGGACCTCACCTGAGTCCAAGCCTGAGCCCGCTCGGGGGACAGGGGGCCGGAGCCATGGGTGGTCTGGCCCCGTACGCTAATATGAACTCCATGAGCCCCATGTACGGACAGGCGGGCCTGAGCCGCGCGCGCGATCCCAAGACATATCGGCGCAGCTACACGCACGCCAAGCCGCCCTACTCATACATCTCGCTCATCACCATGGCCATCCAGCAGAGCCCCAACAAGATGTTGACGCTGAGCGAGATCTACCAGTGGATCATGGACCTCTTCCCCTTCTACCGGCAAAACCAGCAGCGCTGGCAGAACTCCATCCGACACTCGCTCTCCTTCAACGACTGCTTTCTCAAGGTCCCCCGCTCGCCCGACAAGCCCGGCAAGGGCTCCTTCTGGACCCTGCACCCCGACTCGGGCAACATGTTTGAGAACGGCTGCTACTTGCGCCGCCAGAAGCGCTTCAAGTGCGAGAAACAGCTGGCTCTGAAAGAGGCCGCGGGCGCTGGAGGCGGCGGTAAGAAGGCGGCGGCCGGGACCCAGGCCTCGCAGGCTCAGCTGGGGGAGGCCGCCGGGCCTGCCTCCGAGACTCCGGCGGGCACCGAGTCGCCTCACTCGGGTGCCTCCCCGTGCCAGGAGCACAAGCGAGGGGGTCTGGGAGAGCTGAAGGGGACGCCCGCCGCAGCGCTGAGCCCCCCGGAGCCGGCGCCCTCACCTGGGCAGCAGCAGCAGGCTGCAGCCCACTTGCTGGGTCCACCCCATCACCCGGGCCTGCCGCATGAGGCCCACCTTAAGCCTGAGCACCACTACGCCTTCAACCACCCCTTCTCCATCAACAATCTCATGTCCTCCGAGCAGCAACATCATCACAGCCACCACCACCACCAGCCCCACAAAATGGACCTCAAGGCCTACGAACAAATGATGCACTACCCTGGCTATGGCTCCCCGATGCCGGGCAGCTTGGCCATGGGCCCTGTCACGAACAAAGGGGGCCTGGACGCCTCGCCCCTGGCCGCAGACACCTCTTACTACCAGGGGGTGTACTCCAGGCCCATTATGAACTCCTCTTAAGAAGAGCTTCAGGCCCGGCTAGCTCTGGCAGCTCCGGACAAGGACAAGAGAGAGGAAGCTGGGTGGAGACTTTGTGGGAGGGGGTATTGGACAGCTGCGATGGAGAAGAAATGCATTCCTCCTCCACCCCCGAGAGAGCAGTCACCCCTCACCCTCGGTAGCCCTTCCATCCCAAACAGATAGGTCGTATTGGTACCTATCATTCTAAATGAGGGAAAGGGGGGAAAAAAAATAGAAAGTTAAAAAAAAAAAAAGCCTCCGGTTTCCACTACTATGTAGACTCCCGCTTCTTTAAGAATCTGCGAATTCTGACTTTTTCCTTGTTGTTGTTGTTTTCCTTCATCGCTGTGTTGCAGTGAAGTCTTACTTCAAAAAGAAAAAGAAAAAAAAAAACTTTTTGAGTGACTCGGTGTAAAACCATGTAGTTTAACAGAGAACCAGAGGGTTGTATTATTCTTTAAAAAGAGGAAAAACAATAATGTAAGGGTCTGTTGTAAATGACCAAGAAAAAGAAAAAAAATGCATTCCCATTATTGACACCGTGAAATCCAGGTCTCGGGTCTGATTAACTTATGGTTTCTGCGTGCTTTATTTATGGCTTATAAATGTGTATTCTGGCTGCATGGCCAGAGTTCCACAAATCTATATTAAAGTATTATTGCTGGTTTTATCCCTTGAATCTTTTCAAGATTTTCTTTCCTTCCTTCCTTTCTTTCTTCCTTCCTTCCTTCTTTCTTTCCTCCTCCTTCTCCTCATCCTCCTCCTCCTTCTTCTTCCTCTTCTTTTTTTTTCTCTCTCTCTGTTTTCTCTGTGGTGTGACTCAAAAAATAAACAACTTTGAGAAATATTTCAAGAAAAAAGTAGTCCCTGGCTAGTTGCAGGGTTTGGGAGAAGGGCAGATTATTTGCCAAACATTTTATTTAAATACCAAAGTGGAACAAATTTTACTTTAAGCATTCACTGCTGAGATCTAGGTAACATTTCACTTTTCCTTACTTGACTACATATTTCTCCACCTGGCCATATTCCATCAGTCAATCCTTTTTTTTTCCTAAGTTGTTGACACCAATTCACTAAACACCTCTGTGCAAGTACATCATTAAACAGAAGTCAATATTGTTTGTGGTTACTTTTTACATTTTGATATTAACTTTATACACAATGAAACATACAAGTCCCAGATGGACCATTACAGCAGGTTTCAGTTTTTCAAGCCAAGACAAAACTTATCCTAACCTGAGATGTTGGAAGGTACTGTGACGTTGAGGTATCTTGGGTCCCAGGACTGGCTTGTGTAGGGGACAGGCAGGCTTTTTACACGTGTTTCTGTATTTCTGATCTTAATCCTCCCTTCAAGTCAGTGAGCTGAGACTAGATTTGAATTCTTGGTGCTAACACTGCTTTTTGCTACTGTCTCATCTTCCAGCCTCCAGTCTGTGTCTACTCCACCAGCATTTCTACCACCCCCCCCATACACAGGTGTTCTGCAAACGTGGCAGACCTTGGTGGAAAGTCAATCTAATCTGGAGCAACATTTAGAAGATTGTTCTTGAATTGGTTTTAAATGCATAGCTGAGGGGAACAATACAAACCTCCTTTAAAAAATAAGATATGTTTGGGGGTGAGGCAGAGATAAGGAGTATGTAATGCTATTTGTCGAATGACCACGGTAGTGGTGAGATTCCAGTGTCTCAAGATTTGTGTCCCCTTCCTCCCAGCAAACCCTTGCAAAGTGTCCTGTTAGCACAGTTCAGGTTTGTGGCTGAGTAGATGAATGGGTATTTTGTGATCCTTCAAAGAAACTCCAAAAGTATATAGAAAGACCCAAAATAAATTTTTACAAAACAGGCTACCTCTCACCCTAGTCACCCCAAATCGGTAGCCAGTTGCAGTAAAACCCAGGCTGGAGTGGCAAACGGTGAGCCCACCGCCATTGGCTTTGCATCTTCGTCTCCACAAGCTTGCTGGGCCAGGGAAGGAGCCAGTGTTGTCTCGGACCTGCAGACTTCAAGCTATTCGAGTGCCTTAGCAAAAAGTTTGCTGTGGGTAAAAAAATCACACAGTAGGCCTCAGAGGCCTGTGTTGCCTCAGTTTCTAAACTCCTGTTCCTGTTTTGTTTTCCTCGGTATTGGGACTTGAACTCAGGTCCTACACCTAAGGGCCACTCCACGAGCCTTTTTCTGTGATGCTTTTTTATTCCGAGATAGGATGCCAATAAGTATTTGCCCGGGCTGTCTTTGAACGGCAATCCTCATCTCTGCCTCTTGAATAGCTAGGATTACAGACCTGAGCCACCGGCGCCTGGTCCTCTCCTGTTCTTTGAGATTCCCGACTATCCAAACCTGGATTATCCTAGCCGTGCCTCAGTCCAGAAGAGCGCTTCCCTGGCATTCTCGGCCACCTTGCTTAGGTCTCTGTCCCCTCCCCACCCCCAGCCTGGCCTTCCCACGCGCTGGGGGGGGGTGCTCCTCGCCTCCGTCCCCCAGTCCTCCCTCCCCTTACTCCAAATCCCTTTTTAACATGCCACATTGTCCCGAAGAACACAAGAAGGAGAAATTGGGGGCGGGGGGGGGCAGAATCCGGAGGCCGCAGCCAGCAATCAGGCCTTCTCTCCGCCTAGCAAGGACACACACGTTGTGAGCCGGGCCTGAAATGTGTTTCATTATCACATAAAAGGCTCCCGTGGCGAAGGAGCCGAGAGGCAGGGCCGGGGGCCGAGTGGGGGACAATGGAGGCTGAAAGCGCTGCCTAACCTGCAATGTTTCGTATCGCACGCCCATTGTGCAAGGGTCGTTTTAAACTACTTAGCTCGCCCCCTCCACTGATCCCTGCCGATAAGATATAGTTCTATCCGAATACATAAAAAGGATGTTGGGGCGCGGGTGCTTTCGGAGGCTTTTCTGCACTTCTCGTGTCTTTCACACACACCCCTCCCGATCAGTCCCCTCCCCCCAGTCCGGGTTCCTAGCTTAGGAGCTCAGGGATCGCCCTCCGCCCTTTCCTCTACTCTATGTATTGTGGGGTGCAGGGACTCGCCCCCCCACCCCGTCTTTTTCTTCCTTTTCCGCGCGCGGGTTTAAGCAGCCGTGATCTGTGAATAAACAAAGTCAGTAAACAACCGAAAAAAACATTCTAGATCCGAATTCCAGGAGGGTAAACTTTCCATGCCACGTCACACTTCAGCAAATTTGCACAGATATTATATTGCCTCCCCCTCCTTTATTATTCTTTTTTTTTTTTGCCAGGATCCCATTGTACTTAACTGAATTTTATAACGCTGATCGATATCTTGGTAAAATATTCATTTTTAAACTAGCGGGCAGTGAAATCTTTGCTTTGTGTGCTAAAGTCAACAGTCGCTCGGTTTGAGCTCAAATAAATGCAGGGATGCCTCGGCTGGGAGCAGTCGGACGCCTCCCTCCGCGCTCTGGACGCTCTGTCGCCCGCCCGCCCGCCCGCCAGCCACCGCAGGTAGGGAGCGCGCCCACTCGGGGGCCGCGCCCGGGCTCCCCGCAACAGAGACCGCCCCCCACTCGGGTCCTCATGTCCCCCCGCCCCCCAGTCTCCCTTCCAGGAGCTCCGATGTCTAGGTGGGGGTTGGGGATAGGAAGCTCAGCAGATGAAGACCCAGGGGGAAGTGAGAGGTTGCCTTTTCTGCTAGGAGTTTCGAGAGTGCGCCGCGTAGAAAAGTGAGAGTTACAAACGGAGCAGTTACAGAGGAGTTTGGTGGAGCTCCGAAGCAATGAGTGGCCGGACAGGCCCCTGCATCCACTTGGGGCTGGGGATTCGATCCGAGCGCCGCGAGTTTTCCAAGGACAGCGAGTGTGTGTGGTGGGGAGTGGGGAGCACTCTTAACCTGAGAGTCTAGGTTGCGGGTCAGCAGGAAACGTTAAGCGTGATGCAAGGGACTCCCAAGAGGCAGAGGCGTGAGTGGTGAGGACGCCCTCCCCACATGCATACTGGTTTCGAGTTCATTCTCTGCTGTTTCCCCGGATCCAAGCCGATCGAGGCTGCTGAAAGGGTTGGCACCCATCGAGAGTAGAGGGGAGGGGCAGCGCCCTTCCAAGTAGCGAGTGACAGCTCTCGCAGCAGGAAGCTGCTGGTGGCCTTTACGCACAGGCGAGTTTGGTTGCTGACAGACTGGGGGAACCTCTGGGGTTGGGCCCAACAGAGAAAGTCAGAAACTGGCGGCGGGGCCATTTATCACCCCAGTCCTTCAACCCAGTCTCTTCTTTTCTTTGTGAGCCTGGGTCCCCGCTGGCCCGGGACACAAATGCGCTCGGGCTTGCTGGACTTGTGCTTTGAGGTGCCAGAGGACGCGAGTTTGGAGGACAGACCAGAATCAAGTGCGTCTTTGCACTACCTGCAGGGAGATGCCGACCTCAGAAAATTGGTAGTTCCTCTTTTGTCTGCTAAGGGCCTTCAACTTTCGAACGCAGTGTATAGAAAAAGTGTCTTTCCCCAGGGGGCTACTCCTTCCACCACTCTCTCGCAAATATGCATTCTCCCTGGGGCCTTTGTTTTAAATGCCTGGGTATGAGGAGTCCTAAGAGGCTCATGCCATGCTGGCTTATTCTGAGTCTTTCGCCAGGTGGTGAGAGTCACTAGGTTACCTGCCAAAGAAATTGCTGCCACCTCCAACTGTTAAGCTCTTCTAGTCTGCGCTGCAGCCACCAGGTCGAAAACCTAAGTGGGAAGAAAACGGTTTCACTGATGCTCAGGTTCAGTACTATGTGGGCACCTCCACATGTGGAAACTCTAGGTATCTTCCTTCCTTCCTTCCTTCTTTCCTGCCTTCCTCCGTTCCTTCCTTCCTTCCTTCCCTGGCACGTTGGGCTTCGCGCCCTTGTTCACCGCATCCGAGGCCCGAGGAGGGCGCGCCCGCACATTCTGATCCGGGCTCAGCCTCTCGTAGCTGGTTATCTTTCCTGAACAAGCTGGAGCACCGGCAGGACACTGGCAAAGCTAATCGTTTTTAAATAATTAATGTCTCCGGGTTCCTCTGGTAATGCAGGGCTTCGAATCCGTCAATTACTTGTCATTAGACCAGTGTCGCCCCACGGCCTTCCCTCGGGCCTTTGATGGCGCCGGGTCACCTCGCCCAGCCCCACTCCACAGCGGAATTAAAAGGTGCCCGGTCTTTGAAAGCCGGGTGCTGAGTAGCCAGCGCCCTTAATTCTGCGCGAGTTTTGAAAGAAAGACCCTCGCTGAAGAGATGTAATCTTTCAAATGGCCAATTTAAACGCCTGATCTTTATCGCCCGCCTTCTCAAGCCTTTATAAAGAGAAGTCAGTCCTCAGTGCTTTGGATGCCTTTTAATGTGGCGGTTGGGGCAGGAAGAAGCGAGAGATAACGCTTAATAGTGCGTAAGGGGAGGCGTTTGTCCAAGGAGGTACCGGGAGGAATCTCTGGGCAACTTGTTTTCTTAGCAGCAGCGCATCCTTCTAACCATAGCGGGCCAGGGATTGCTCCTTGCTGGAGGGAAGGGTCGCTGAGAGCAAGCAAGTCTTT